ATAGAGAGGGGGGAGAGAGAGAGCGAGAGACAGCGTGCGAGAGAGAGAGAGAGAGAGAGAGAGAGAGAGAGAGAGAGAGAGAGAGAGAGAGAAGGAGACTGCCATGGCACTTGGAAAGATCCCCCTTTCCATTTCTAACAGATTGTGGGGAGAAACCTAATAGCACAGTTTGCATTCTTTATTGGTGGAAGGGAGCAAGAGTCCAGTAGCACCTTCATGACTAACAAAATTTGTGGCAATGCATGAGCTTTCATGATTCACTGCTCACTTCTTCAGATACAGCTAGAATGTGAGTCCATCTGTCCTTATATCTTGGAGAGTGAAGTGATTTCAGACGCCAAATGACAATAGCAGGCATTGGTAATGAGAGAAGAAACCTAGATCTCAATTCAGAGGATGCATTGTCTTGAGCTTCATTATCAGTTGCAATTCAGCAGTCTCTCTGATCTCCCTTTGAAATTACTTTGTAAGAGAACTGCTACTCTTAGGTCAGCAACTGAATGTCCTGGAAGGTTAAAATGTTCCCCCCACTGGTTTTTGAATTTTGTGATTTCTAATAGCAGTAGAAAGAGTAAGAGTCCAGTAGCACCTTAAAGACTAACAAATCTGTGGTAGATTGTGGTGGCTCAGTGGTTAAGATGCTGAACTGCAGACCGGAAGGTTGGTAGTTCAGCAATTCGAGCCCCAAGTGTCGCATAACAGAGTGAACTCCCGTCTCTGGTCCCAGCTCCTGCCAACCTAGCCAAGAAATTGCAAGTAGATAAATAGGTACCACTTTAGTGGGAAGGTAACAGCATTCCGTGCGCCTTGGTGTCTAGCCATGCCAGTCACATGACCACAGAAACATCTTCGGACAGCGCTGGCTCTTCGGCTTGAAAACAGAGATGAGCACCGCACCCTAGAATTGGATTCGACTGGCTTTCGAGCAAGGGAAACCTTTACCTTTACCTATGTGCTTTTATGAGACACTGCTCACTTCTTCTGACTTATTTCCATTTATTCTTTGCATCCTCCTAAACTGAATCCTCCTGTATCAAATTGAGACCTAGGTTTCCTGTCTCATTACCAATGCTGATATCTCCACACCTACTACCCCTCTGCATATCACACCTAAACCAATCATGCCAGCTATTGCCATTCGGCATCTGAAATAATCTTTTATAAAGTTTATACCTTGTGTTACATTTTATGGCGCACATGGCCCAGCCCAACAAAGTGACATTTATATCAGATCGGCCCTCATAACAAATGAATTCAACACCTCTGATCTAAACAACATTCCTGAAGAGTTTGCGGACCATGTAAAGAACAGATTTGCATTACTAAATTCAAGTGAGCATAAATTGGAAGAACTGTCGGTCGAAACCAGAAAGATTATCTAGGACGAAAACAGTGAAGACTGGAAACAACTACTGATAGTTAAAGCAGAAAATGCCAAAACAGGATTACAGCTGAACACCAAGAAGACCAAAGTAGTGGCTACTGGCGAATTACACTACTTTAAGGCCGGCAGTGAAATAACTGACATTGTTCAAGATTTTCTATTACTGGCTCCGTCGTCAACCAAAAGACAGACTGCAACTGAGAAATCAGGAGATTGAGACTGGGAAGAGCAGCCATGAAGGTGCTAGAAAAGATTGTTAAGTGTAAGAATGTGTTGTCGGTGACCAAGATCAAGATAATCTCACAGTCATAGTGAAATTATTGTGTTAAGCCACAGGCCATCACAAAATTACAGAAACCACAGTATTCCCTGTTACTATGCATGGTGTGAAAGTTGGACAGTGTGAAAGCAGACAGGAAGCAAGTTGATTTATTTGAAATGTGGTGTTGGAGGAGAGTTTTATGGATACGGTGAACCGTCAAACCAAGCCTGAACCCTCCCTCGAAGCTAAAATGACTAAACGGAGACTATCGTAATTTGGTCACATTATGATAAGGCAAGAGTCACTGGAAAAGACAATAATGCCAGGAAAAGTTGAAGGCAGGAGGAAACGAGGAGGACCCAATATGAGATGGGTTGACTCCGTCAAGGAAGCCACAAAGGCCCTCCGTCTGCAAGGCCTGAGCAAGGCTGCTAATATTAAAAAGTTTTGGAGGTCATTAATTCATAGGACCGCCATAAGTTGGAAGTGACTTGATGCATTTAACCAGGGGTCATTTCGTAGAAAAAGAACTAGGGGAACTCATTAGCATAACTCATTAGCATATGCCACACCCCCTGACATCAGGGGCCTGGCGGTGGACCTGCAAGGCCAGCAGGAGTGCGAGGAAGCCCCGCCCAGGCCCTCCCTGGCCCCAGGCAGGCAGGGGTGGGGAGAGGCGGGGAGGAAGCAACTTACCCTCCCTCTTCTCCTGCCTCCTCCTGGCTGAATGAGGGCTGGAAGCGGGGCGGCTGGAAGCAGGGGGCGGGGCTTCGTCATGTGCCCCGCCCCCTGCACCTCGCCCGGGGGAACTGCGTTCCCCCGCGTTCCCCCCCGAAATGACCTCTGCATTTAACACACATACACAATTATCACAAATACTAGTCATCTTATCCGGCACAGGATACCAATACTTGCATAAAGAGGGCAGAAAACCAAACAATGTGGAAATCCATTCTTATTGATTGAAGATTTCAAATAGAGCTCGCTTGGGGCACAGTCTAGTTGGCATAAATTATAAAGTTTGCCACAACAGAAATTACACACAACACCTTCCTTTTGGAGAGGTTAGCACTATACTAGAACAATGTACCACTTAAGTCTATGATTTTCAAGTGCATTAAAAGAAAAAAAAACTTCTGTCCCTTTTTAATGTGAACCTAAAACTGTTTAATTCTGGTAGCTTTCCTTTTGTTATCCACACGCTACAAGAAGGAAGCTGCAGCCTCCTCTAGAGCAGTGCTTCCCAACCTGTGAGTGGTGGAGCCCACCGGAAGTGGGTTGCAGCCAGTGTTCCCTCTAAGCTGAGTTAGTGTGAGCTAGCTCACAGTTTTTTAGCCTCCAGCTCACACATTTTTGTCTCAGCTCAGGAAGGATGGCTCCAGAGCA